TGCAATGGTAAACCTTACTGCTGCACTTCCCTTCTCAGTTCTACTTTGCCAGTACATGCATTCTCAAGACTCTATTAGTCTACTATCAACTATGTTCGTGCTCACCTCAGCGAAGCCTCCACCCTTAGCCACCTAACCACAAACTCGCCAGCTTTCCAGGACGAAGGCCATAACCGAGCCTACTATCAGCCATGTTGTGCCTTAGTACCAAGCCCAAAGGGGCTTCGTTACTCCTGCTTGTGAGACTAAGGCAGGTTTGTGACCTGGGTAAATGGAAAGGGAGTCCTTTGTGCTCAGGCTGCCCTACTCCCATCTTCTCGAGGTTGTCGCAGTAAACTGGTATCTCTGGGCCTGCTATCAGCTCCAACCAGTAAGTCTTGGGGTCTGCTATCAGTGCCAAGGTAATGAACTTTGGGGCCTGATATCAGCGCCAAGCATTAGCCTCTACTTGCGAAAGAGAAGTTTTTCCCAAAGGCTGCTATCACCTTGGCGGGGTGTTTCCTCCGCAAGTTGGTTGCGGCGGCTGTAGTTGCTATGGCAGTCATTTTCTGCGGCACTGAAAAGTGCCTCTGCAACTTGGGCGTTGCAAGTAATACCTCTGCATCTTAGTTGCTAGTAATACCTTTGCAACTTAGTTGCTTCGGTTCTCTTATTCCCTTAATAACTCTAGATGGCGGTGGAACCGACAATACTTGGAATGGCGGCGCTGAGACAAAGTACCTCCGCAGCCTGTTCGTCGCAAGTGTCGCCTCTGCAACTTAGTTGCTTCAGCTTTCTGTTTCCCTCAGCAACTTCAGGTGGCGGCTGAACCGACATTATTGGGGAATGGCGGCGCTGAGGCAAAGTGCCTCAGTAACTTGACCGCCGCAAGTGTTCCTTTTGCAACTTTGACTTTGGCATTTTCCTTCGTGAAGTCCGTTTGGACCCTTGGCAGGTCGGACCTGCTTCGGCCCACTGTTGACCCACTTCTCTTGGGCTTTAGCCCATGCTCTCTTTTCATTCATAGTCGTCTTAGAAGGGCGACCTTAGCACTTAAGCTCATACTTAATTTGGGGTTTAATTTCTAACCCTTTACAACTAGTTATAATAATCCAACACTACAAACTTATTAACATCAAAGCGTGTAGTCAATATATATATATATTTGAAAGAAGAAAACAACATCAAATATCCTTATGTAGACTTCCAATTTAAAAAATATATTTATAAACACCCCATAAGTTGTACCAAAGGACCTTATAGTGTCCAAAAACTTTGTATAATAGTTTAGGTTCGAGTCAATGACCAGTTATAATAATCTAACACTACTAATTTATTAATATCATAATGCGTAGCATAAAAAAAATTGAAAACAGAAACAACATCAAATATATCCTTATATGGACTTGCAATTTAAAAAAAAAAAAACCCATAAGTTGTACCAAAGGGAGTTAGTGTCGAAGAACTTTGCATAAGAGAGGATTGAGCACCTTGCTCTAGAAGAGCTACATCAAGCAACTAAGAGAGGATTGAGCACAACACCAGTGAACAAAACAGCCCCTTTGAATCTTGGGATCCATAATTTAGAAACATCCTCTTTCCTCAACCCGAATTCCTGATTCATGAATCCAAGGTTGGATACTTGAGCTTCTTGACTAGTTTTGGCAAGCCATCGGTTTCATTTGGAAGAAAAAAGTACATAGAGAAGTTACTACCTTGATATGGAATACTGAGGATTTTATATCCACCGAATAATCCGTAAAGATGACGACTGCTTTTGCTTGTCATGAAAGGAACTTGAGCAATCTCTCCATCGAGAAGATGAAAATTCATGTTTCTTGTACGTGTTTTATCGAATTTTTGATCCCATTGTCCTTTGCAGTATAATGCATTTGCAAAGAGGAGTGCAGTGTCACCATATAAACATCCAGGAGGAAGGAAATTCTTGATGAGTCCCTTGGTTTCATTTTTGACACATGAATTTACTTCATCTATCACTTGATCAGCCTTGAAAGACAATAACAAAAGATGATGATACAGAATGAGTAGCAGAAATGTTTCGTTTTATTTTGTTTTAAATTTTTTATTTATAAGCTTTGAATCCCTAAAATTTGGTAATCTAAATGAAAGATACCTTTTAGATCGATGTTCTTAGGGGTGGCAATAACGTTAGAAATACTAGATGGTTGTTTGGGATATGCTATATAAGTGTACTTTTGACTTTTTAATTAAAAAAGTAAGGGAAAAAAAATATGTATATTTGGGATAATTTTTTAAATTTTTATGAAAAGATATGTAATAAAATATTATAGTATAATCAAAATGACCATTTCACCTTTTTGATTTTTTGACTTTTAACTTTTTGATTTTTTGGGTAGTTGAATTCAAAGAGCAAAATAATAATTTTGCCCTAGTGACTTCTCCCAGATGCTACCCTTGAATAGTATAGAATTTTAATTTTTTTAGTAATTTTTTGACTTTGTATCTTTATTAATTAAATCCCAAACAATCCCTAATTAGTGTAGTCGGTACACTAGTTAATGTTTCTTGCATTACTGTAGTGATGATGCATGGTAGACTTTTTTTTTTTTTTTTTTTAGATCCTCGAATTAATAATTTTGGCATTTATAATTTTTTTTTTATTTTAGCAATAACTTTATTTTGGAATGTCCTGTTTTAGAGTCATCATTTTGGCATGTTTCTAATATTTTATAGTATCTAAATTTGGGCATAATAAAAATCAACAACACTAAATATTCTGTACAATATGTAGCGCACTAAATTTTATTCAACTCATATATTGCCAAATTTTATAATTTCCTAATTGATTTATGCCTAACTAAATTGTTTCCTTGTAGGATTAGGATTTCTTATTTAATCAGAGGTTTTTTCCCTTTGTGGATACAAAGTTTTTTTTTTTTTTTGGGGGGGAGGGATATATTCAATGTTTTTGATATACTACATCAATTAATTTCTTACTTAATGCACAATATATAGGGTTAAAACTTATTCGAGATCGAATTATTATATAAATAAATCAAGTGTGAACAAAATTTTAAGTTTGTGGCTTAACAAGTTTATAAACACTATAAAAAATTGAGTTATTTAAACTTAACTCAAATTCGACTTATTAAAGCCTTATTTGGGATAAACTAAAAAAAATTAAAAAGTCAAAAAATTATTAAAAAACTAAAAAGTCTATACTATTTAAGGATAGCTTGTGGGGAAAGTTACTATGCCATAGTTATTATTTTACCCTTTGAATTCAACTACTTAAAAAGTCAAAAAGTCAAAAGAGTAAAATTGTCATTTTAATTTTACTACAATATTTTATTATACACCTTGTCGTAAAAAATCAAAAAATTATGCCAAACATACATCTTTTTTTATCAAAAAGTCAAAAAATCTCAAACAAAAACTAAAAGTTCATTCAAAATCAACTTATCACATAAACAACTCAAACTTAAACATAATTTTAAATTAAATGAAACCTAAACAACTTACTACTAAACTCGACATGACATGACTTGACTTGTTTTCAACCCTAACAATATATTAGCATCTTCTATGAGAGAAAGATTATAAAAATAAAAATAAAAAATAGAAAAGTACCTTCTTCGCAAAGTCAACCTCTTTGGCTTTAGCATTATAAGAACCTTACAAAATCCTTTTATAAGAAGGGTTCAAACTAAAACTTCGATCAATCCACACACTATTAGCAAACAATATAGATGGACTTGTAATTCTGTTATTCTTGTTGTTGTCTTTAAGATTGGACGCCATCGATGTAAACTGCAAAGACATAAAATTCAGATCATCAATACTTTTTTATCCCAAATAAAAAAGAAGTTGTTCCAAAGGAGAGGACACAAAATTTGAACCTTTTTTTATTTCTTTCAGTAGAACTTGGTTTGCCATTTGTGTACAAAATTGGGAGCTGAAATTACAGGTGTGGATCTGTGATGGAGAGACTATTTTTTTTCTTTTTTTGATGGGAGGTGATGGAGACTCCATTGGGATTTATTTTACACAATATAAGAGGTGGATTTTATTTATTTATAATCATAGAAATTAGGGCAACGAATAAGTAACATAAAATTACAAAAATATCCCCAACCCTGGGCCATGGACTCAAGACTCAATGTATAGTCCTTATCACAGTCCTCACATGACACAACACAATATAGTTTTCCAAACAAAGTTACCTAAGATGGACTCACTATGTAGGGGTGTGTTTGGGTGGCCATTTTTTTTTTTTTGTAAACTTTTTTAAAAATTTCAAAATCTTGGGTGTTAGGTTCTACTGGACTACATGTACTAGTAAAGTAAAAAATAAGGGGAAAAAAAAAAAAAAAGCTGAAGAAAAAAAAAATTTGTGATTTTTTCAAATTTTTTTTAAAAACTTTTTAAATCATTCTACATTAAAGCTGAAAAGTAAAAAAAAAAAAAAGAAAGAAAAGAAAAAAAAATTGATACAAATTTAAAACAAAATGACTAAAGAGAAAAAAACAAAATTTTTGAACAATATATATATTTTACTGATCCCAAACTCACCATGCTTCCTTTGATTTTCTTATAACCTACCTTATTGGATTAAAATAATTTGCAAATAAGTTAGTGTTTACAAAAATTGGTTCTTTTGACATAAAAGAGTTAATTTTTTATTTTTATTTTTTTAACGGAAACAAAAAGGGCTTACAAAAACAGTTTATTAATTTAATTTTAAGTCATTACACAAATTAGGATAAGCACCTTGATTTCATGTATTTATACAGCAAACATGTGGCAGTGGTTTTTGTTTGATTGATTTTCAAGAATTGAGCACTTTGATTGGGCCCATGTAATAGGTCCCTAATTCTCGGAAAAGCTTGACATCTCATTTACATTTAAAAGGCATTGAGTCATGGGCTTAGGCCGAGTTGTGCATTATATAAATTGAAAAGGGTTAATTACTGGCATGTCCTCTTTAAAGATGTGTACTTATTTAATTTTACAATTTTTTGAGTAGATTCAAAAGGGTCTTGCGTGTTTTGCTTATTCACTTTCTCTATGTTTTCTTTCTTCTTTTTTTCTCTTTTTCTTTTTCTTTCTAATATCTGAAGACCACACATTTCTTCTTCCCTTTCTCTTTCTCTTTCTAATATATAGTTATGCGTGACCACTATTGATTGGGATTCATCGACAACCATCGATCATTGACTCATTGCTTCGCCTCGTCGACGGTGATGGAGATGAGTTTCTGATGAAAAAGATCTGAGCAAATCTACATTAGATCATGCTAGATCTAAATAAAAAATAGTTGTTAGAATACAATCTTCTCTTTATATTTGTCTCTCTCGTTCCATCGGTCAGTTTTTTCTATTTTTTCTTTACTACGCATTTCTCTTTTCCCACTTTAATAGAGAAAATTTTCAACTTTTAAACAAATTGTTTTAGAATTTTAGTTACAAGCGATGAAAATTGTAAAAATTTTCAGTTTTGATTTTTTTGGTATCGAAATGAATCATACTTTAAAACTATAAAATTTTACAATTTCATAACATGATTTTATTGTAAATTTTGCAGTTTCATAATATGTTTCTCAGTTTGATTAATAATCATAAATGCTTAATAGGATCATACTTTGAAACTGTATAACAATTTTATTGTTTGAAAACTTACTTTTTAGTTTGATCAATATTGAAGATTTACTTAAACCTTACAAAAATTAAAAAATAACATTTGTTTTTCACATTGTTACTGTTTGTTGCTACGTTTTTTCCCTCCTTTCAATTTATAAATATTTAGCACATTTTGTTATATTTTTTCGCTTTAATTTCTCTATTTATTTATTTTTTTCTTTCTGGCAATATTCTGTACATTCCGGTGAGTCTCTGACGATATTCTTGAAATTCAAAACACTCCAGCAATACTCTGGCAATTTTCCAGAGTATTCTTGAAGTCACTCGAAGAAAAACACGAAATTTGGTGATACTCCAGAGTGTCAACGCCATTAGAAGTCATTGGAATTTTCAGAATATTCTTGAAGTCACTGAACACTTACGCAATATTCTAGACATTTCTCGCTGGAGTGTTCTTAAAGTCACTAGAAGTCAATGAAAAACAAACTTATTTAGGCGGAAAATATTTTTCATTTTTTAAAAGACAAAAAATGTTTTATGAACTAAACTTTTACAAATGCCACTACATTGCCGCCACCACGATCACCTCCACCACAGCACCACTACCACTACCATCATCACTATCGTTGCCACCATCACCTCTATCGCTACCACCCACCACCACCATTACTGCCGCTGCCGCCGCCATCCCCAACACCTCCACTTCCACAACTACTACTACCGCCTCCTCTTCCACCCTGCCGTTGTCACTATTACCACAACTAATGCAACTATTAATGCATTAGTTTCAAGAACGCAA